CCTCCCAAGTAGCTGGGACTACAAGTGCCCGCCGAAACGCCTGGCTATTTTTTGGTTGCAGCTGTCGTCGTTTGGTGGGCCGGGGCTGGATTCGAACCCACCACCTTAGGTGTATGTGGCTGATGCCTTAGCCACTTGAGCCACAGGCGCTAGCCAATAAAAAGATTTTTCCTGTAAAAGTGAAAGTATTATCTATGTTTGAATTTTTTGGATTTCTCCTAGTTGTTACAGCTTGATATTATTCCCTGACAAGTTGAAAGCTCTTAAATTCTTAGAATTAAAGGTTAAAGTAGAAGTTGAAGTCTGTCATTCCCCAACTCTTTGTTAATTGTTCATTAGCATAGAGATCTAAACACTTAAATGATCATTTTTCTTTTTTTCAGTAGAGTGCTATGGCGTCACAGCTCACAGCAACCTCCAACATCTAGGCTTAGGCGATTCTCTTGCCTCAGCCTCCCGAGTAGTTGGGACTACAGGTGCCTGTAACAACAGGCAGCTATTTTTTGTTGTAGTTTGGCCCAGGCCAAGTTCTAACCTGCCACCCTCGGTATATAGGGCCAGTGCCCTACACACTGAGCCACAGGTGCCACTCTAAATAATCATTTTTATTATAAAATTTCATTGAATCCCAGGTGAGGTTTTTTTGTGTGGGGGGAGGGGTGGTAGTGATCAGGTAAATTTGGGTGACTGTCTGCCTGTGTTAAAAATATGACAAAGTCTTGGAAGCACACTTTTATTCTCCTAGGTGATGGTCTAAATTTACTTCTCTGGGTCTGGAAGCTCTTAGAATGTTCTTCAGCAGTATTTTTGCCCTTACATTTTCCCATAATAGAGAAAAAAGTTACTTCTTAAAGTTAAGATTATGGTTCATTTTCCTGACCCTTTTGAGAACAATAACCATAAGAATCTTCTTTCTCTATCTAATAAATCTTTGACTATACGTATGATCTTTGACTATACATTTGACTAACAATTTCTTCATCTCCTTATTCTGTTCTAAATCCCTGATGGTAATAAGACTGGAAGATATTAGGTTCTTCATGAGCTTTCTTGTCCTTGTTGCCTTTGTTCATGTGGAAGGTGCAACAGCTGCTGTGGCTTATGCATTTGTCTTAGTTGCTGCTTTATGTAGTTTGTATTTTGATAGTAGTTATATCTTTCTGAATAATAACTAAGTCATTTGTCACTTAAGTTAAAGTTTTATAGTTATATTTTTCCCCCTTTGGATGTATATTAAACCTAGATGTTTTAGTTTAGTTTTGTTTTCTGTTAATCTTCACACCAGGTCTTTTCTGTGCTTTAGGTTGACTCTTCATCACACTGAAACTATAATTAGGAAAAATCCTTGTGGTTAACAGCAGAGGCTTCAGAGTGTAACCTGTAGTCGGGCCTAGAAATAATTATAAATGGCGACTGATACGTCTCAAGGTGAACTCATCCATCCTAAGGCACTCCCACTTATAGTAGGAGCTCAGCTGATCCACTCGGACAAGTTAGGTGAGGTAGGGGCTGATACATTCTTGAAGCTCACTCTTGGATCAATCCCTGACTTCAGGCCCTGCTGGGTCCTCCTTGGTACATGTTCCTTCCCGTACTTTGGGGAGTCTAGGTTTTGATTCTGAAAATAATCGTAATAGATTCAAAGTTCTTTTCATCTTCCCTTTCCCCTTAAATTCTTGAGAAAACCTCCAACCTTCTAAATGTATATCAAATCAAGTGTAATTATTTGTTTTCATTTGAAATTGTAGCCAAAATAAAATATTTTGAAAAAGATTTCTTTAAAATCATATTTCATTTCAAAAGAAACTTGTTAAAAGTAATTTGCACCAGATCCTGGAGTTGACTTGAAGAATTCTCCTACATCTTCTGACACCCAATTAGGTCCCTTGAGAAAGAGAGAAAAAGAACTTTTTTATGCATGTTTGATTATGGCCATCTCTTTCTTAGAAAGTAGAAGATAGCAGCATGCCGATTCGTCGAGCTGTGAATTCTACCCGGGAAACTCCTCCCAAAAGCAAGCTTGCTGAAGGGGAAGCAGAAAAGCCAGGTAAAGCAGTGTTACAACTTAAAAAGGCAAAAGTTTTTAACTCCTGTTTGAAGTATTCTATACATCCTTTTGAACTTAATTGTCCTTTATTCATAGCCAGGTGTTTTGGGGGAACATTTAAAGAGAGAAGCATGCAGTTTCTTCTTCCGAATAAACAAGATAAGATAGAGAGGGAAGCACCACCTATTGGTATATCACTGCCAAACCATGTGGGCAAACTAGGATTTCTTCTTGTCTCTAAAGATTTTTGGAGAGGAAGAAATGTCATATTCTTGGAATTTAAAACAAAAGTTGGGGAGAACAGGAATGATTAAAGAGCAGTATTATGGACATACAATGTTATAGGGATAAAGGCATTGTAGAAGAGGGCTTAAGCCTTCAGGATGAAAAGAGGAAGGTGCATTCAAAAACCATCAAGGTAATCAAAACATTGGTCTATAACTGGTGGAGAAAAGATCAGCTACTCAGGTTGGAGCATGTAATGAATGAAGAGAAATGTAGACTCATCAATATGGAGTGCTAGTGTTCCTTTCTGGCATCTGTCACCACTTCCTCTTTTCCCTTTCTTTTCTTCTCATGACTTCTTTCTTTCTTTCTTTCTTTATCCTTTTTCCCTTCTCCCTTACCTCAGGTTTGCCAGGGTGAGCATGCTGTGCCTTCCCTGTCATGGCTATTAGAACCAAATGTTTATTTCCTGACCAACATATATCAGAAGTGGAAAATACATGCACCCTTGTTGGCTTTATTCTTTGGCCCAACAGGACAGATATCATTAACCAGTCAATGTACTCTTTTTCTGGGTGAGCCTAGATTTTGTCTCAGAATCTCAATTTTAGCACGCTGGCCCTAAGGCAGTTCGGAAACACTGGGAATCAGCGTTAGGAAAAGTAATGGGTGCTGGTAAGTTGAAGATGGATTATGTTGTTTAGCCCTGGGATACAGCACTTGGTTCATCTTAATCAATGTTTATTTTACGCCAAAGTCACTAAATCACCAATGACAGTTTATAGAATACATGCCAGAGGTTTCACGTGTAAGGTATTAGAAAAGTCAACCAAGAATTTATAGAGGAACAGTACACTTGACAAGTTGTATGTTTAATTTTCTCACTGTCCCATTTTGTACATAGAAATAATTAAACTTGACTCATATTTTATATTTTATAAATCCTAGTGAGATGTGATGACTCATGCCTATAATCCTAGCACTTTGGGGTGCTGAGGTGGGAAAATTGTTTGAGGGTAGGAGTTGGAGACCAGTCAGGGCAACATAGCAAGACTCAGTCTCTATAAAAAATTAAACAGTTAGCTGGGTTGCAGTGGTGTATACTGGTAGTCTTCCATGCTCAGAAGGCAAAGGCAGGAGGATTGCTTGAGCCCAGGAGTTTGAGGTTACGGTAAGCTATGATCAGCTCGCTGCACTCTAGCCTGGGCCACAGAGTGAGATCCTATCTCTAAAAAGATAATAAATTATAAAATTTATTATAAAATCCTGTATTTTACGCAAAGGTGGACATAGTAGTTTAATGAATTGGAAACAATGTCTTAGACATACTATATATTTGATATCTGTTGGGTGATTGTACCTTTATGAAACCTTAACTCCTAAGAAGTTATTCTTGAGAAAAGAATTTATAGGTTTTTATTTTATTTTATTACATTAAAATCTAAATGATTCTTAATTTTTCATCCTTTTTATAACAAGGCAGTGTGTAAGTAAACATGATTAATAGCTAATTCTTACCCTTGCAGCCAGTTAGATCAAATTTTGGGGGTGAGGGGCGGTAAAAGATACATCATGATGAAAAGCACATCTTGTGGAAAACCTAACTGCAGTTATTATCTGTATTTCTGGAAAACGTTGTTACAATGAAGTTCTAGCCTTAACACTTTGTGATCCTAAGCGCATGGGAAACAGTTCTAGAAGCAGCAAAGTAGGCCAAAAGAGGACAGTAATCACTAACTCAGTTTAAGTGCTGGTCTACCTACAGGCTTCCCCTAAAACCTTTTATATAACTCTGTGATGTAGAGATGTCAAAAGAACTTGCCCTAAGGTTAGTGAACTAGAAAGTTATAAAGACTGAACTTTAATCCAGATGCATCTAACTCTAAAACCTCGGTTGAACATATATGGAAGGAGGAGTTTTGACTAGTGTGTCTGTGTAAGTATAGTTGACAGGTATTATAAAGGATAGACTTTGCAAATAATGATCGACAGTTCACGGATTTATGGTGTAAAATTTTAATTAGTTGAGAAACTAGAAATTATTTTATTTAGTTATTTATATTTTTGAGACAGAGTCTCACTTTGTCACCCTTGGTAGAGTGCAGTGACGTCATAGCTCACAGCAACCTGAAGCTCTTAGGCTTAAGTGATTCTCTAGCCTCAGCCTCCTGAGTAGCTGGGACTACAGGTGCCTACACCCACAGAGATGGGGTCTCGCTCTTTTTCAGGCTGGTCTCAAACCTGTGGGCTCAGCCAATCCACCCACCTCAGCCTCCTAAGTGCTAGGATTACAGGCGTGAGCCACCGTGCCCGACCTGTATTTTATTTATTTTTTGAGACAGAGCCTCAAGCTGTCACCCTGGGTAGAGTGCTATGGTGTCATAGCTCATAGCAACCTCAAACTCATGAGCTCAAGCAATCCTCTTGCCTTGGTTTTTCTATGTTTTGTAGAGATGGGGTCTAACTTTTGCTCAGGTTGGTCTTGAACTGGTGAGCTTAAGCAATTCCCTGCCTCGGTCTCTCAGAGTGCTAGGATTATAGGCTTGAGCCACTGCACCCAGTTTAGAAATTATTTTACATTGTATTTATGTGATTTGGTTATAAGAAGTGGTGTTTTTAAATTCTCTTTATTTATGTGAAGGCCTCAAAGAAGTCACTATTATTCCAGTAATTAGTTCACATAATTTAAATGATCAAACTCTTGAAGCGTGTACTCTTACTCTTTGCCACTAGCATCATTTTCTTTGAAGTGCCTGCACAACCAATGCTTGGTGTTCTGTGTTTTATAAAAGCTGCTCAAAGAAACATTCTGTGAAGAAAAAGCACAGAAAACTACAGGCCTCAGTGTTTCTCCTCGTGTTTTTATTCTTGGTGCTGTCATTCCCACTCAGAAAATCAATGCTGATTTTTTTATTGCTCCCTTTCTAAGATTTCCCTGTGCAATTATAAAATGGCTAGTTTCTTAATTATGATTCTCATTAATACCACAGAGTGGAATAATTGAAAGATTTGGAATAAAATGAGTTCCCCTTACTATGTAATTTCCTGGTCCATCTCCCTTTCTCATGTAGTGGTCTGGATCAGTAAACACTTGAATTGGAGTGACATAAAGAATGCAAGGAAATTCAATTGTAGTCATTCGTTATTCTTGTGGCATTCACTTGTTAATTGGAACATTTGGCTGATTTGTTTAGTGAGGTAAACTTTTACCCTTTTATTGACTCAGGTTCTAATGTATCTACTTGATGCAATTCTGCTCACCTGATTTTTTAGAACCAGACATAAGTTCAGAGGAATCTGTCTCTACTGTAGAAGAACAAGAGAATGAAACCCCACCTGCTACATCTAGTGAGGCAGAGCAGCCAAAGGGAGAACCTGAGAATGAAGAGAAGGAAGAAAGCAAACCTTCTGAGGAAACCAAAAAGGAGTAAGGAGTTATGCCTTGTTGCTATTTATAATTGAACACTGTATAAAGGATTGTAGACAGATTGCTATAACAGTGGTATATGCTAGGTATTTGTTATTTGGACTTACCTTTTTTTAAAATTTTATTTAATTCATTTATTTTTTCGAGACAGTCTCACTATGTCACCTTTGGCAGAGTGCTGTGGCATCACAGCTCACAGCAACCTCAAAATCTTGGGCTTAAGCGATTCTCTTGCCACAGCCTCCCAGGTAGCTGGGACTACAGGTGCCTGCCACAATGCCCAGCTATTTTTTTGTTGCAGTTGTCATTATTGTTTAGTCGGCCCAGGCTGGGTTCAAACCCTCCAATCTAGATGTATGTAGTTGGTGCCCTGGATTTACTTTATAGAATTGCCATTTGAAATAAGTTAATTGGCCAGGAGCAGTGGCTCACACCTATCTGTAATCCTAGCACTCTGGGAGGCTAAGGCAGGTGGATTGCTTGAGTTCATGAGTTCGAGACCAGCCTGAGCAAAAGCGAGACCCCATCTCTACTAAAAATAGAAAAACTGAGGCAAGAGGATCCCTTGAGCCCGAGTTGGAGGCTGCTGTGAGCTATGAAGGCATGGCACACTACCCAGGGCAACAGCTTGAGACTCTGTCTCAAAAAAAAAAAAAAAAAAAAAATGAAATAGGTTAATTACATATTTGTGTGTCCTATTAGAATTTGTAGTAGTTAACAGAACCATGGTTTGAATAATCCAAAAGTTTCGTTTTGGCTTTGGAAATGAATTATTGTGGGAAGTGGCTGATAAGCATTGACAAAATTTTAATAAGAAGTGAGACTATAGGCTCGGCGCCTATAGCTCAACCGGCTAAGGCGCCAGCCACA